TGTTTCGGGCAGCATCCCTCATACCGAGGTGCAGGGCAAGGGGCCAGCTCGAAGCCAGGTGCTTGCTGCAGGGTCTTTTGTAGGTGGCAGCACGAGGCATCGCCTTGTCCTTGTGGGAGGTCCAGCTGCTGTGACCTTCTCCACATCCCCTTCAGTTCTCAGTGATGCCAAGTCTATTAGGATGGATCCTCTGACATTTGCATCAGCCGTGATATTGCCACACCAAAGGGCGGCTCATCACACCGCTGCCAAGGGCTGTTTCAATGCCCTCGGGGTGAGATGAGTATCAGGGAACAGGAGAGCGAGAAATCAGCGAGAGGCTCAGCGGAGGCAAGGTTGTGCAAAGCAGAGTGGAGTTCACAGGGTACTTAACAAAGAGGCATTGATTGGAGGCTGGCTGTTGTGACAGAGCTCGCTAATGCCTGGAGATCAGTTCCAGAGCTTTCTATATGAGGGAGCAGGAACCAGGTCTTGCAAGTGTGGGAGCAGCCATGTAACAGCACCTCCTGGGCTCTTCGGAGAAAGGGTTCAAGGTTCAGGAGCCACCAGCTGCCTTGGCTGAGTCAGCCACCTCTGCTCCTGGTGGCGTTACGTGCAGCTGGGTGGAGGGGAGGAGGAGAGAGATGATGCCCCGATGGCAGCTAGTGGCCTCGAAACCTTTGTGTCCTCACCAGGCTGAGTGCTTATTGCTTATTGATCATGGCAGGACTCCACTGGCACCTTTCACATGGCTTTTCTCCTCTCTCTGCCTCTTGGCTTTTGCATCTTAGCATCAGGCAGCAGCTGGGCGCAGGTCCCCTTTCGGCGCTGAAAGGATTCTGCAAAGCCCTCAAGGGTCATCAGGTTCCTTGGTTCTTTCTCAGGATCCAGGCACCGAAGTGCACCCAGACCTTCGCTCCCAGCCCCCTGCCTGTGCCGCAGGGCACCCGAGCTCTGCACGGAGCCCCCAAGGCCTTGCATGACCTAGTGAATATCTGGGCTCGGGATCGTGGGGAAAGGCAGCAACGCAAACCACTTCAGAAGCCAGGGTGGAGGAGTAGGATCCCAGAGGTCTCCACTAATGAGGTCTTGGCACCAACATGTCTTTGGCGCTCAGCTGGGCCTTTTTTACTGCTTTTGGCCCTTAAAAACAAAACAAAGCGAAACAAAAAAAAAAACACACACCACCAAAAAAACTAATGAGTAAATTGCAGCTCGGCAAGCTTCAACCTATACAGCTCATCCTTCCTGGTGTGCCGGCTGCCCCTGGGAGGTGTCGGAGTGGATCGGTGGGCACCGGGAGATCTGGCATAGGAATGGCAGGATGTATCCCAAGCCTTTTCTCTGCCATGTCGACCACACACATCATTCAGCAGAGAAAAAGCAAGGCAAAGAGCCCCAGCACGGCACATGCACACACACATCCTGCTTAATATGCCCGAGCCTCTCCAGGGGCTGATTAGGGATTTTAGTTTCTCCTCCTCTCCCTGGCTTGCACACTCGGTGCCATCAATAATCTATGCGTTCACCCTGATGAATTATTGAGTGTGTAACGGGGCGAGGACCCGCCGTCCCGGCTCAGTCACCTTGCAAACGAACCCTCCCAGGAGCATGACAGCACCCGCTTTGCCCTCTGGCTTCTGATTTAGGATGGGGAGCATGGGAAGCGGCTCCAGCTCCTTGCAAAACCCCTTTCCTCCGTCTGTTCCCGTTCCTCGCCGTCCCTGCTGGGGTGTGGGTGTTATTGCTGCGGTGTGGAGCAGTGCAATGGGTGCCTTATTGCCCCCGATGGGAGGTTTGGAGGAGCAGCACACGAGGACTTTACCCCGTCTTGCAAAAGAGCCGTGAGTTATTCAGTCACCTGGAAAGGAAACGCGATTTCCGCACGGTGTTTGTGTTCTTTTTTTTTTTTTTTATTGTTTGTTATTTCTTCACTGCTTTTTTTTTTTTTTTTCCCTTTTCCCCTGAAGCCTCTAGAAAGTTTGGAATTTGTTTTTGTTACAGCTGCTGCGTGTAGGGGCCTGAATCGTGGCGTTGGCAGCGCTGCGCCCTTGGCAGGCAATCTGCAGCTGGCACCGGCTTTTTCCCCGGCCGAAAGTCTGACACTTTGCACCTGGGATGCTGAGGGCTCTGCAGCACCTTTCTGGTTGAGGATCATCAGCCCGAAAGTTTGCCTTTTCCCCAGTTTATGTCCCAGTACGGTCTGTGCCGACGCATGGATCCCATGGCAGGAGCAGGGCAAAAGGGGGAGGTCAGAACTGGGAGCTCCTCACCCAAGGTCAAGGAGAACCACTGGCTTTGTGAGAAGGCATTTGGTTAATTTTCAGAGAAATAGCACAAACAGGAATGCCGTAATGATGAGCGAGGGGTTGGGTTGACCCCTCTCATGCTACACACCCACCCCTGCCAGCCTGGCTGGCTGTATATTAAGGGACACACCGCTGGTGGCCATCCCCTTGGCCTCAAGCCTGGCACAGCCTCCTTCATGCCGTGTCCTTTGTCCATGGAGCCCACACAGCCCTGCAAGGCTCCTCCAAGCAGGGCCCGGTGGCTTCCCGGCCTTCTGCGGGGTCCAGCCCAGCTCTGGTGTTTGTGACACCACGAGGCCACCACCAACGTGGCCTCTTGGAGTGGGATTTCGAAAACATGGCTCCGAGCGAGCAGCTGGGGCCTGTGGGGGGCCAGGGAGCTCGTGTGGGAGCGGGGCCAGCAGCACCAGCGCCCCAGCCCCGGGCAGGTCCCGCTCGGGGGGCCCTAAAAGAGGTGGGGACCAGCGCTGCTGAAGCCGCTCTGCTGCGGCGCTGGGAGGAGGAGGGCGTGCTGAGCACACCGCAGGTTGTTCCCAGGGCTTGTGCTACAGGATTGCTTTTGCTTTTGCTCCTCGGCAAGCTCCCACACGCCTCGCCAGGCGCAAAAGGGCTTCAGAGCCAGGCCGCTTGGCAGAGCTGGGGCTCAGCCCCGCAGGTGCAGGCAGCTCGGAGAGAGGCTCCTCGGTGAGGAGCGCTTTTAGCTGTTCTTGCCCCAAATCCCAGCACAACGTACCCAAACCCAGCCCTGATCTGCACCCGCTGCCCCCGTTTCATCAGGAGGCCCCTCTGGGCCAAGTGTGCAGGCCGGGCTGGTGTCAGGAAGGTTTTGTGGTGTCTTAATGCTTGGACATCCTGGAGGCATGAGCCTTCTGGAGGCCTGAACCTTCTGGAGGCCTGAGCCTGAGGTGGCACGGAGATAGCTGGTCCAGCCATGACTCCATCAGAGCAGGAACATCCCTTCCCTCTGCTTTCTGGTGGGACACCCATCCCAAAACAGCCCTGGCTGTGCTGGGAGGTGATGGTGCAGCCCCAGCAGCTCCCCTGCCATCTCCCAGGACTCGCTGGCTTCACGCATGCAGGCACATGAGGGCACCAGTGCTTTGCTGTGGCTGTGCTGAAAAAAAAAACATTCCTCAGCACCCAGCCGGCGTGGTAGGGTGTGGGGCCAACTGGCGCTTGACTCAGGAAGGGGGCAAGTTCACACAAAGCTCCAGAGACTGAGTTTCGGGCTTAATTGCTGCTGACTGTGGTCAGCTGCTGGCGTCTCGTGGCCGGGCTGGGTTGTTGAGGCTTGTCCTCGGGGTCACGGGCTCGGCGTGAAGGAGAAGGGGATTGAGGAGAGGCCGAGGTGGAAAGGGGGCTGAGATCGGGCCAAGCAGGCGTGGAGGGGGCGGCACGGCGGGGAGAGAGGTAGAAGTGGTGTTCGTGGGCGAGATGAGGTGCGTCTGGCTGCGTGGGAAGCTGCAGGAAGGAGCCACTCGAGGCCACGTTCCTGTGGGGAAGGCAGAAGGAGCAGTGCTGGGGGCTGGGAGCGGGGAGTTTACACTGCCCTAGCACTCGGGGAGCCTGCAGGAACATGGTTGGGGGGACTCCAGAAATGCTCCATACCCTCAGCTAGAAGATGCTGTCCCCTTTCTCCTACCTTCCATTTTTTTCCTCTTTCCCCAGTCTTTCTTTCACTACCCTTTCATGTTCCTCCCTCTTTGTGCATCTCTCTTTTCTTCTTACCCCTTTCTTCCCTTTCCCCTCCCAGAACACATCCCGGCCCAGGCTGTGCCAGGAGTGAGCAGAACGCGCTTTTCTTGTTCTCACCACCTCGCTCCTCCATTGTATTTCTCATATAAATACCGGCTGTGTAATTACCAGCGCATTATCTCTAAACATACAGATTAGGGAAAGACACGGTGGCAGCCAAAGATGAATTTCGGGGTCAGTCTGGTGGGAGACATTTTTCTCCATCTGGCAGGGGAGGAATTGAATGAGACAGAATCGCGGTCGTGAGCACCAGCCACCACTTCTCCCAAGCACCTTTCGTCTTCCCTCTGCAGAATTAAGATGGAAGGCTCCTAAACGCAGTCACTTCTGTTTGTTTGTGCTTTTTTTTTTTTAAATAAAAGGCCACAGAAGGTATCCGGATCATGCAGATAGATCATGCAAGGTGGATGGGCACCGCCATAAATCTGCTCTTCTCCAGGAGCTGTTGCTGCTCTGAAATCCAGGCCTCGGTCTTTGCAGCTCATTTAATTACTGGTGCACTTCCAATAGGATTAAATGGATGCCTGAGTGTGTGTTAGCATATGTTAGTACATGCTGTGCTGATAAATATCTGCGCCTTCGTATGCCTACAGACACACAAGTTGTGTGTAACTTGCAATAACTGATGCAGAGCCTTCCAAGGTTGAAGGCAAAGGGAAGGGAAGTTATTCCTGATCCAACCTCGTGCCTTTTGGTGATCCCGAGCCCCAGGGAGGCTGCAGAGCACTGGGGCTGGTTGTGGTGAGGCAGGAGGTGCTTCCAAACGGGAACGGAGCTGCAGGTGGAGGCAGGTTGTTGCTGCCAGCCTGTAGCCATAGCCTGCTCTTGGATCGGCCGTGACGAGAAGAAAAGAGCGAATAAATAAAGGAGTTCACGGGCCCAGTATCCACCAGCTGTTCTTTTGTTTTCCTTCCCCAAGAAGCATGTGTATATTCACATCTTCCCATGTCGTTGCAGGGGTGCAAGCTCAGACTGTCTTAGTCAATGACACAGTCTCGGGGTACATCGGGACGGACGTGGTCCTGCACTGCAGCTTCACCAACCCGCTCCCCAATGTGAAGATCACGCAGGTCACTTGGCAGAAAGCCACCAACAACAGCAAGCAGAATGTGGCCATCTACAACCCGGCCATGGGGGTCTCCATCCTCTCGCCCTACAAAGAGCGGGTGACTTTCCGCAACCCGTCCTTCAAAGACGGCACCATTCAGCTCTCCCGGCTGGAGCTGGAGGATGAGGGGGTGTACATCTGCGAGTTTGCCACCTTCCCCACCGGCAACCGGGAAGGTCAGCTCAACCTCACCGTGCTGGGTAAGACACTGGGCAGGTTTTGGGGTGCAGACCTTTTCCTCTGGTTAAACACACCTAGAGGGATCTGAGGCTTTCTTCCTTGGGACTCAGGGAAAAGGCGAATCCTGGGTGTAAATGTTACCTCCCATGCTCTTTTAAGGTGACTGTGAAGAGGTGAAGGGCTGGGAACACAGGGTAGGTCCTGGGAACGTCTCCTCCTCCTTCCAGGCCTCCGTTCCCCTGTCACTTACTACAGGCACCGTACAAGTGACCTGTTCCCCAGGGGAGTGGTGAGTTAATGTACCTGTATCTGTCAAAGGAACAGGGAGAAAAGACAACAGAGAGGCCCTGAGCACAAGCAGAGCTTAGAGCTGTGAGTGAAGAGACCCCACCCAAGGTCTACGTGATTCATTTGCTCTCCAGTTGGGGTTTCTCTCATAGTAACAGGGCTGAAAACCTGTAGCAGGAAAGCACCAACTTCATCATGTATCTGCATCCAGGGCACCTCCACCAGTCTTTCCCTGCTAGCAATTTGCACCAGTTCTGGATTCCCAACGGGGTCTGTCACGGGCGCAGTGGTTCTAGATGTCTCTTGGGTTGTAGCAGAGAAGGTAGCGTTGGCTTTTCTAACCATCCCTTCGCACCCTTTTCTCCTCCTCCTCCTTCTTCGCACTTCTTGCAGCCAAGCCCACGAATCGGATGGAGGGCACCACGCGGCCCCTCATCGCCAAGGCTGGCAGGACGGAGAAGATCCTGGTGGCCACGTGCACCTCCTCGAACGGGAAGCCCCCCAGCACCGTCACCTGGGACACCAAGCTCAAAGGGGAAGCGGAGTTCCAGGAGATCCGCAACAGCAACGGCACCATCACGGTGATCAGCCGCTACCGCCTGGTGCCGAGCCGCGAAGCCCACCGGCAGCAGCTCATGTGCGTGGTCAACTACCAGCTGGAGCGCTTCACCGACAGCATGACCCTCAACGTGCAGTGTAAGCGAGCTGGGGCAGGGCTGGGGAGCAGAGATCCAGCATCGGTGCATGGGTTGGGGGATAAAACTTGGCCAAAGAGGGGTTTGCTGAAGGAGTGGTGCTGGTCGGGTGGAGGGGTGGGAGTGGGGGCTGCTTTCTTGTTTTGGAGGGTGCAGATGGAAGTGATCCCTTGGAATAATGATGTTTTCCCTTTCTCCTATCTCCTTTCCCTCGCTGCCTCTACCATATCCCTTTGTTCCTACCTTTTTCTCTCTGCCTGCCCCCTCTTCTCTTCCTGCTTGCTCCCCTTCCCTCTGCTTTCCCGTCCTGCTTTCCTTTTTTTCTGCCCCCTGCAGACGAGCCAGAAGTCACCATCGAGGGGTTCGATGGCAACTGGTTTCTCAATCGGAAGGACGTGAAGCTGATCTGCAAGTCTGACGCCAACCCCCCCGCTCACACCTACGAGTGGAAGCTGTAAGTACCCGCAGTGCTCCTGCTGTCCCCAAATGTCACCTTCCAGTCACCTTCCTTGGGAAGAAGAAGGGCAGTGGGGAGGATCCTGACTCCCTGCCTCTGTGCTGGAGCTTGCTACCAGTACCAGCACAGCCTCAGCACCCAGAATAACCTCCTAGTACCATCACCTCGCAGTGCCCCTGCGTATATCATTGCTCCACCGCCAAACAACAAGGGATTTCCCTTCCTTAAAGGGGCACAAATAGCGCAAAATTCCCCTGTGTGTAAAAAAAACCCCAAACTTTCCTTGGAAGCAGCCCTGGCTGTGAGCAGGAGCTCCCCTTTGGAGCGCTCATCCCCACGCATCTGACATTAACCAGAAGTAATTCCTCGTCCTCCAGGGCTCCAGCTCTTGGCTGAACACACCGAAGGGACTGAGCAGCGAGCGGGGGATGCCCGGGGAGCCGGGTGGGAATTGATGGAACCTGAGGTGGTTCTCCCTCCCTCTCTGCCTTTTCTATAAGCACTTATGTAGCTTTAAAAAAATAGAGAGATAAAATGGATCCTTTCTTCTTTTCATCTGGCATTTGTCATCGGGAAAGAGGCTCTCAAAATGGCTTTGCAAGGAGCTGGGCATATTGTCTCTCATTTTGCTTCCAGATCAAACTGCTCACAATGCAAGCCTGAAGAGGATTGTTTTTCTTGCTTTTTTTTTTCTGTTCTCATCCCCAGCTCTCTCTGGTGGTTCTTCTAGCTTGATTTAAACTCTGAGGGGTCTCTCTGGGTTCCTCTCAGCATTGCCAGGAAGGTGTTGGAGGCAGAGATGCCCCTTGTGGCACCCAAGGCAGAGGAGATGCCGGCTCTCCATGCAGCAGAGCTGAAGAATTGAGCTGAAGTGAGCCCTGTGGGATGGAGCCGAGGACAGGAGGCAGGTTTTCTCTCAGCTTTTGGGCAAGTCATCCCTTTGTTCTGCTCTTTCATGCAAGGCTGAGCTCTTGCTGGGCTCCTGGGCACCAGGCTGTCCGCAGCAGGAGCTCACAGCCAGCGGCACGAGCATCTCCAGCTCCTGCCCCGCAGCCATGCTGAAGGCAGGCTGAGAGCAGAAGCACGGGGCAACCTGCTGCCAGATTTCTCAGCCAGGTGATGTTCTTCTAGCCCAGGGCAGGAAAAAGGGTTAGCTACCGACTGGGCTCAAGCACAACAGGGGATGCAGGTGTCAGGGCTGAGCACGGCACAGCATCACCGGCTCCGGTGCTTCGTTTCCACACCTGGTTGGCACGCTGGGGGGAATAAATTCAGCTCTGGCAGAAATAATTCCTGGCAACTTCGCGTTTTTGAGCCAGGCACTGAGTTGGTTCCTCTGTGCTTGTGGGGTTGATGATTTATTTTTTTTTAACACTGGAAAGAAAGCTTTTCCTGTGAATTCTCCGTGAGCTGCGAGTGTGTCCATTTGTCTGTCTTTAACCCGCTGTCCTGGTGAGGGTTGCTTGATGTACAGCTCAGAGGCAGAGGGAGCAGCAATACTTGGCTTTGAGGAGGGCCTGTGGGGAGAAGAAGGGAGAGAGGGAGAGCACGGAATTAGAGAGTACAGGCTTCTAAGCCCAACAGCTCTTCGATCCAATTTCCCAGCCTCTCCCTTTGGCACACTTGTTGGGTCAGTTAGGACGGAAAATAGGATTATTGACCTGAAAGAGGACGGAAAGGAAAGCTGGACTGCAGCTGAAGGTAAGGAGAGGGCAGGCAGGAGACAAGGGAAGCAGAGGGTGAGAGCGAGCAAGGCTGGCCCTGCTTCCTCTCCTCTCCTTTCCCGGCGAGGAGCTGATAGAAGCAGCCCCAGCCTCCCTCAGCAGCTTCCAGGTGTGCCTTGTCTGTAAATTCGGAGCCCTACTTCACCCCCAGGCAGAGGACCAACATTAGGCTGCTCTGCTCCTCCATCAGCATCCCTGGCTCGGGGTGGCTGGGGAGGAATGCCCCTTTTTCTGCCCCAGCTGTTTGCTCCCCGCAGTGTGCCCGTGTGTCTATATAGACAGGCCAAATTTGCCCGTGTGCATTTAGGCACTTCTTTGCAAATATAATTATGCCCCATTATTGGCTTTTGTTTCTTACAAATTGCTGACAATATGTGCACATTTTTGTTGGGAGGAGGGGAAAGAACTACTTGAGTAATTTTTAATTGCCTAAGAGAAGTAATTACTTTACTTTGCTTCAGTAATTAAGAATAACCAGGCCATGTGTGTCGTTTCCTAACACACAGGCTTTTTTTTATTTTTATCTGCCTTTGTTCATTTACTCTGTGTACCTCTAGACTTAGCTTTGCATGGTTCCAACTTCACACTTCTCTGACTCTGCTGACACGGGCAGGCCAGCGATGGCAGGGCTGTAAATTAGCACCACTTTACTCGAGCTGGAGTTACAATTAACACCGGCTGATCGGCCAGCAGTTACACGGGCAGGAAAGTGGAGTAAAGCAGGGTTAGGTCAATGTCCCATTCCCATATTTTCCATCAAATGGGAAGTTAAGGCTGGAGAAACAGCCTCAATGTGGGCCTGCTAGGGGTGAGCTGCCTGAAACAAACCCATCAGCTGGCTGCTTTACCCCACGTTTGCACCCACGTGGGGATTGTGCTGGGAAATGAAGCACTTTAAGCTCCCAGGCTGTGCTCTGGACAGGGAGAACATGGTCTAAAAGCACTCCGCATGCCATTAGCCAAACCCAAGGGGCTAGCTGTGACCCAAATATTGCCAGGCTCCCTTGAAATCACCGAGAACAAAAGATCCATACAAAGAGCTGATCCTCATCACGCAAAGGATTTACCCCGGAGACATCCCAAACTTTTCCCTGTAACGCTTCAGCCCCAGGGTTTGGTTTCAAGCCTGGCTACGTGGCAGGAGCAGAAGCAGCATTTCAGCATCACCCCTGCAGGGCTCCTTGGTCGTCTTGAGCACCACCTCCGGGCTCTGCCATGGTTTTATTCTCCCCTAGGCCAAACGGGACGCTGCCCGGCAGTGTGGAGATCCAGAACAACACCATCTACTTCAAGGGGCCCGTCTCCTACAGCGTGGCCGGCACCTACATCTGCGAGGCCTCCAACGCCATCGGGACCCGGTCGGGCTTGGTGGAAGTCAATGTCACAGGTAGGAAAGCACTCGGCGTGCTCTGAAAGAGGAGGAGGAGGTGGGGAGAGGAGGTGGGGGTGAGCTGCTGACCTCTGCCAGCCAGCGATGTCTTCTCAATGTCTGTCTGAACCCCCGGTGTCCCTGGGGGGAAGAGTCTTGGTGCAAAGGGAGCAGGGGCTCTTTGCTTTCTCCTGGGTTTGCTTGGATTTTTTTTCTCCTTTTCTCTCGTCGTCTTTTCCTTTCTTACACCAAGAGGCCTTCGGTCTCGTTCCCCTCGTCTTCTTTTCTGCTTCGGGCTCGGGTGGCTCGTTGGACGTGTTAAGAGCTGAGACATGTCGGGGAGGTGCTTGCTGGAAGGTGGAAGGAGTGGGATGAGGACAGAGGGAAGGAAAAAAAGCACACAGATAGGACAGGAGAAGACGGTGACACCTGCCACAGCCCCCCGGGACACCTGCTTGGTAGCTGGGGTGATGCACGGGGGGTCCGTGGTGGGCTCCTCCTGGTGTCCCTTGTCCCCAGGGGACAATATCCAGGCAGCACGAGCTAGCTGAGCTCACAGGGTGCTGGGGCTCCAGAGCTGTGCCCCCCGGGGCTGGGGGTGCACAGAGAGGCTGGGGGGCTGCAGTGGTGAGCGCCGAGCTGGTGAAACTGGGAGAACTGGGCAGCCAGGAGCCGTGACACCACAGCCGGCACCCTCGCCGCTGCCTTCCCCTCGCTGTGACGTGGGGGAAGCGGGCGAATCTTCCTCTATCCGAGCGCTCGGAGGTCAATGGATGGGATGTGCTAATTAGATGCTAATTACGAAGCATTTATTTATGATCATTATCACTGTGGCAGGCCTTTAATTCACACCTCCTGTCCTGGAGCCGTGCCTGCTGAGTTGTTCCCGGTACATGCTTTTCTCTGGGGGATTTTTTGTTTGCTGGGGGGAAGGAACCAGACAGACAGAGCTCTGTGCTGAGCACATCCCTGCCCAAAACCCCAAAAAAAAGGGCAAGGTCGTGGCCAAAACCCAGCCAGCTGCTGGAGGTGCCCAGCAGAGCGCCGTGTTCCTGGGGCTCTGCAAACTGCCAGCCCCACAAGGGCAGCACACAACGTTGGGTAGAGGTCTGCCTGCATTCCCAGTTTATTCCCCAAAATCCAAATCGTGGTGCTGAGGTTGAACAAGAGGGACAGAGGGACGCACCAGCAGCCCCCGCTAGGAGCAGGGAGCAGCCGACACGCTAAGGCAGGGCTCCGGCATGTAAAAAAATAAAAATAAAAACCACCACGCTTTTAATAATTCATGGGATCTGAATATGTTTATCCAGCTCTCCCTCAGGACCGATTAGGCCAGTGCTGGGGAGGGCTCAGCCGCCCTCGCTCAGCTATTACAGGTACATTTGTTTGGGTCTTGCAGACAATTTCGGGATTGTCAGCGGACCACGAAACATCTTTCAAGAGATGCATGCCGTAAACGGAGCTCAATCTAGTGAGCAGCCAGCCTGGGGAGCAAAAAAAATAAATAAATAAAAACCACAGAAGGTTGATGCAGAGAAAAACCTGCAGCAGCCGCCCAGCATCCTCCATCCCAGCCCCCGGGAGGAGGAGCAGGGCTGGGTCAGCCCCGATTCGTTTCGGGGGGGAGACGGCTGCACGCTTCTGCTGGAGTTTGAGCGTATTAAAGGGATTGATAAGTGGAAATTTAATATTTTATTCCTGCAATCTGTTCCTGTAATAGCTTCTCCCGCCTTGCAGGACCTTTGTCAGTGGCAGCCAAGCCATGTAGTGTGACATGTAGCTCTTTATTCCGGCCGGGAGGGCGACATAATCAAAGTCTGGGGGTATGGACTGCCTGGGGCTGCCCTGCCTGCTTGCACACGCGTGTGGAGGGGAGCTCCCCTCTATCTGTGACCCCAAAAACCGCCCGCTGGCACGGGGCTGCCCTGCTGTGCAGCCGTGCGTGAGCATCGGCGCACGTGTGAGCACGCACGTGTTTTCGGGGCCGTGCTGGGGTGCAGCAGCTTTTGTTGCCCCGTGACATGATTATTGCGTGCCCTGGCCCTCGGGCACACGGGGGTGCGTACAAATTTGGGGGGGTTTGCAGTTCGGGTAGGGGAGAGCTGCAGGAGCTCTCAGCAGGGAGTTATTCGCACACCAGCAGCCAGCCCAGCGCAGCAAGGTCACAGCAAACAGCCCGTGGGGTTGTGACGGGCTCCGAGCACGAGATGAAGAGCTCTCCGGGCAGCACCACAGCCCAGCCACCACCCAGCTCCTGGGTGCTAAGAGGACGCGGGGCAGGGGGCTAAGGGCAGCTGGATGGGGGGGCTCTGCCTGCTGCTGCCCCTCCAGACGGCATCTGCTGCTCCCCGCCTGCTGGCATCCTGATTGACAAGCGGTAGGTGACCTGGCAGGAGATTAAAACCTCGCTTGGCATCTGGCCTGAAAGCCGTCACCCTCTGACACGCCAGCGGCAGCTGCTGCACTGCTGGATGGGTCGCCAGAGGTTTGTTCTCCCCCCTCTGCCTCCTCTGCTCCCTGCGCCATGGGGACGGGAAGGCAGGACCCCTGCTGCAGGAGGTGGGATGCTGAGAGGGAAAAGGGCAGCAAAGCTGCCAGGTTCTCCAACCAGCCCTGCCAGGGCTGAGGTGTCTCCCTGTTGTGACTCAGGAGCAGAATGGGTCAAAGTCCCGGGATAATTTGGCGTGGATGGGTTGCCGCCAGCAATCTGTCTCCAAAAAATAATAAAATGAACCACTCTGTTTGCTTGGTGCCAGCTGGGAGCTGGGAACCCACTGGTTTTAGGGCTCCTGCTCCTCCCCAGAGCTGCTGCTCGCCCCTACCAGCTGCTGCTGCATCGGGGGCCGGTGCTGAGTTTCTCCTTGGCCCTTGATTGAAGGGAAGAGGACGGGGCTGTGACTCCACGAGGAGCCGTGCCCACAGGAAGCAGCCCCTTATAAAACACCCAAGCAGCACAATGAGCACTGGGCTTTTGAAAAACCCTTTCCTCATCATCATAGAAGAATAATCTGGTGGCTAAAAATACCTTTTTTTTCTGATCAGGGCCCTTCCTGCCCTTGGGAGCAAGCTCTTGTCCCTGTGGGTTCTCTGATGTCTAATGAGGTTTAGGTCCCACCTCTGCCAGGGATCCCACCTCCGAGAGCTGTGTGGTGGGGATAATTCTGCTCCTTCTCCATCAGATAGCACCGAAATTGGCCAGCAGGCTCAAAAAGCTGAGGGATGGATGGGCGGGCAGCGTGATCTGCATAGGTCCCTTTTTTTTTTGTGCTGGAAACCAGCCATGAACAGAAAGGAGCGATTTTAACACCTGTATTTTTTCCAAAGCCACCCTCGTGATGGGGACGGTCGGCGTCGTCACCCCTGGGTGCTGCCAGCTCCCAGCTCCCAGCAGCGGGAGAAGCCCCCGAGCCCCCTCCTGGGGGAGGCAGGAGCAGGACGATGCTGGTGGGATCAAAGGGAAGGGGAGCGAAGCCCCGGGGCCATCCCCAGCCCCCTCGCTCCCAGCTGCCGTGCGGGAGCTGGCACGGGGACAGGGAGCTGGGCTGAAAGCAACAGCTGGCAGAGCCGGGCAGCGGGCAGATAGTGTTGCTGCTCTAATTCCTATTCACACAGCGCTCCCTGTTTTTATGAGGGCTGGGAGGGGGGGAGCAGGAGGAGGACAGGCTCTTTATGCTGGCATTAAAGCCCGGCTTGTTCCCCCTCCCCGCTCTCCGCCGTCTCCTGTTTCCCCACTCTGCTTTTCACAGCGGCTTTAATTCTCTCCAGACTCTCTTCCTAATGGATTTTTCACATGGAGGGCCCCCAGCGCGCTCAGGCACCGCACCGCTCTCCAAAAAAAAATTTCACGCACCCCTCGGACACAAAAAGGGGGGGGGATCCTGTTCCCACACTTCCCCCTCCTTGACGCCCTGCGCCCGAAAAGCGGGTGGGCAGCACCCTGCCTCCCCTTTGTGGGGCTGCGTGCCCAGAACCCGCTCCATCCCGAGCCACCAAGGAGCCTGGCGGTGTCCTCGGTGTCCTTGTGGCAGGGCAGGGGCACCCAAGGGTCCCTCTCCCAACCCTGCAGGGGGGGTGCCCAGAGGCCACGGAGAGGGGCGCTGGGAGGCAGCGGTGGTCTGCACCGCCATCCAGCGGTGGTGGCACGCCTCGGCCCGCCCTGGATCCCTCTTTCCTCTTTTTTTTACCCATTTCTGACCGCCCCCCCCACACCCCAGGCTTGGCCACGCTCCCCTTCTGCGCCCCCTGAGCCCCTTGGTCCCGCAGGCTCGGAGCGCGGTTTGGGCAGGAAGGTGGGAGATTTGGGCTGCGGGCTTCCCACTTGCCCAATCCCTCTCTTCCCACGGTTCGGTTTTGGTTTCTCCGGCATGGGAAGTGGGCCACGGCGAGGAGGACGTGGACGGGAGCTGAGCAGAAAATAAATTCAGCAGAAGAAGGTGTGAAAAGCCCGGGAGCGGCGCGCTGGCTGCCGTGGCCGCGGCGGTGGCCTTGGCACGGGGGTGGCCCGTAGGCGAGCGTTATCTCAGGGGCGGGCAGCACAAAGGGCAGGAGAAAATAAATACACACGGGAGAGGGAGGAAAACGTTCGCCTTTGCCTTTCGTGCCTCCAACCTGGGCTGATAAGGAGGCTCGTCATGGGAACTTTGGGGTCTGGGCAGCACGGGAGCTGGCACGAGCAGGGCTGGATGCTGCGCGGATGCTCGTGTGGTTGAAGCGGAGCCCTCGGCAGCCAGGACTAGCAGGGGATGGACGTGACATTTCTTGCTGGCTCGGCAGAGAGGCTTTGCATTCAGCAGCTGGCTCTGACAAGCCTTCTGGTGAAGCAACATGTGGTTTTGGCTTCCCAGAGCCCAGCCTCAGCTCCCCGTGCTGAAATGCATGCCCTCGCTCCTGCTCCGAGGGCTGTCTTTGGAAGGAGATGCTGACTCCTGCCTGCGCAGCATCTTTCTCCTGGTTCTGGCTGCAGCAGGGAGCCTTCCATCTGCCTGCCCCCCAGCCCGTCCTGCCCACTGTGCTGCTCGGCGCCTGCTTTCAGGCTCGTGAGGCTTCGCTCGAGGCGAGGCAGCGCTGCAGAAACCACGGTGCCGCGGCTGGGACGATGTCTCGGGAAAGGCAGGGGTGAAACAGCTCCCAGGCACGAGCAAAAAGCTTGTGCCAAAAAGATCAGGCCGGCGATTGCTCGCATTCAGAGCCCGTGTCCAAAACGTGCAGCTGCTCCTGGAACTGCCTCTGCGGAGAGGAAGCAAACTCTTTTCTCCCCTCTCCCTTCGTGGCTGGGCTGCCTTGTGCTGCAGGGCAGCTCCCTGCACTGCTCTGCCTTGCTCAGGGTTTCCTGCCCTCCTGCAGAAACTTGGCTGCCAGCAGCAGACTCCCACAGGCCCGTGACGAGGGGACAAAAAGCAGATCCAGCCCCAGATCCGCTTTCTTTCAACCCCTCCCAGCCCATCGCCCATCCTGGCTGCTCTTGTGGAGGACGTGCTGAGGTCCTGCGGTGCCTGCCGGGTATAAAGTGAGGGTTGGGAGGGTCCTGAGCAGCAATAAAAGGGCTCGTGGCTGGGTGCTGGTCCCACGGTCTGCTCATGCTGTCGTGGCTTTCTGTCCCTCTCTTCTCCCCCTGCCCACATGGATGGGGGTGAGGGATGGAGGGTCCGGGCACAGCAGAGCCCAAAATGACCAGCATGACACAGGATGGGCCCTGAGGACCCCCCTTAACAATACCTAGGGGTGCCAGGGGGTGTTAACCTGGCTTCTGCTGCCGAAATTCAGAGGCAGGTGAAGGACAGAGACAGCCACTTGGTGCTTGAAGCCTCCTGGACACCGCTGCTTGACGGGCAGTTGGAGAAAAAGAGCAGAATTTGGCCAGGGGCTGTCAAGTGTGCCGAGGGAGGGCTGGGGAGGGTGACTTACGTCCTGGGTCAGACTTTATCCGTGCCAAAAAGCATGGCTCAAAGTGCGTGAGAGAGCAGGGAGCAGCTTTCCCATATCTCTTCTACTCTTTCTGGCATTGTTTGTTTATGGGGGGTCGGGGTATCTGCTGGAACAAGATTAGCTTGAGCCATGGCACCGCGCCGGCCGTAGGAGCAGCAGGGGGGGAGGTCGGTGTCCCTGCGCCGCCGGGCAGCCAGCCCCGACCCCGAGCATCACCGTGTGCCCGTGGGGTGTGTGTGGGGGCAACGAGGTGCTGCTGCCCTTGGGGGTGGGCTCAGGGTGGGCTGGGGTGCTGAGGAGGGGGACACGGAGCACCGCAGCCGCTTGGTGCCCACTACTGGGTGGGTTTGGGGTCCTGCTCCTGGTGCCGGAGCATCGTAGGGCTGTGGGGACGCGTGAAAGCTCCCCGTGAAATGGAAAACACCCGGACCGATGGCACTGGGGGTGTGGGATCTGAGCACGCCTGGAGGAACCGGGAGGGGTGGGAAGGGAAACGCCGCTTCCAGCCTGCTGGGCTCCTGCATGCAGCTTGGGCAGCTTGGCACGGCATGGCCGCATCCCCGCGCCGGGGCAGAGCTCCTGCCCCGACCCCTGCTCTGACGCACCCTTCTCCCCTTTCCCTGCTTTTTTCCCTTCCCTGTTCCTTACCCTCATCTTCCCACCCCTCCCACCCACCCCACCCAAAAAAAAAAAAAAAAAAAAAAAAAAAGGCAATGAGAGCATGGAGGGAGGGCGCGTTTCCGCATGGTTTGACACTGTTCCCCCTTCCATCTGTCTTTTCCTACCCAGAATTTCCCTACACCCCGTCTCCAATCGATGATCGCAAATCCATGGTGCAGCCGAACATCCCCACCCCCGTGATCGGGGGCATAGTGGGAGGCGTCTCGCTGGTCCTGGTGGTGGCCGTGGTGCTCTTTGTGGTACTCCGGCGCCGGCGTCACACCTTCAAGGGTGACTACAGCACAAAGAAGCACGTCTACGGCAACGGCTACAGCAAGGCCGGCATCCCGCAGCATCACCCCCCCATGGCCCAAAACCTGCAGTACCCCGACGACTCGGACGACGAGAAGAAGCCGGGCCCCCTGGGAGGCAGCACCTACGAAGACGAGGACGAGGACGCGGGCGGCGAGCGCAAGCTGGGCGGCCCCAACAAGTACGAGGAGGACGCCAAGCGGCCTTACTTCACGGTGGACGAGGGCGAGGCGCACCCCGAGCCCTACGACGAGCGGACACTCGGCTTCCAGTACGACCCCGAGCAGCTCGACATCGCCGAGAACATGGTGTCGCAGAACGACGGCTCCTTCATTTCCAAAAAGGAGTGGTACGTGTAGCTCGCCTCCCGGCTCCAGCCACGCGCCCGCACGCAGCCACGCGCCCGCCAGCTCCCCCTGAGGTGCCGCCGAGCCCCCCCGGGGCCCCCAAGCCCCCCGCACGCCCCCCAAGGACTTCGGAGGCTCCGGCGCTGGCGAGCGGGTTGGGGAGGGGGACACGGGGGGTGTGTGTGTGGGGGGGGGAAAAGCTTTGCTTACGGATCGTTTTTTGTTTTTTTTTTGTTTTGTTTTTTTTTGGGGGGGGGGCGGCGGGGAGGGGACGGGAGGTGGGAGGTCGGGTAATTATTTTCTCGGTTTTGGTTTTTTGCCTTTTTAATTTCTCTGGAAAATTTTCGTCCCCTTCTGTGGTGTTTGTATTGGTCGGTGGCGTAGGTGTTCCTCTTTGCTTTAACGACTGGTGCCCAGCCTGTATATTACACTCTGTTCGTGTCTTCATAGCTCAGGGGGCCCTTTGGCCCCGCGTCCCTCCCCGAGGTTCCTCCTCCCACTTCGGCACCCCTGAAACACTGGAATTTGTTTGTATGTTGTCGTCTTCTGCTTTGTTTTAACCCGGGGAGGGGGCCGGCCGGGCTGTCCGCAGGACAGAGGCCAGAGGAGCTGGTGGCGAAGGAAACGGAGGTGCCAGGGCCGGCTGGAAGGACTTTTCTTCCTGAGCACGTTGCTCCCAGCGGGGCCTGGGCGCTGTCCCCATCGCCCGCTGCACGCCTGGGGGATCCGCTCCCGGGCCGGAATGACTCGAGAAAAGGAAAATGAGGAGAGAAGGGGGAGGAAAGCCCCAAAACCAGCCCCGGGTGCGTGGGCTGATAGCAGGGCAGGGGAGCGGAGCTGCCATTTTCCTCCTCCCATCCATCACCTCCTGCCTGTTCGTTTTCCGTCTTTGTCGGAGCGTTCTTTATAACAGAAAGACGAGGAGTATTTATTGCTGACATTTTTTTTCCCCCCCCTGTGATGGCTCGAAGCAGCCCTGGCCCCTTCTCGCAGCCCCCAGCCCCGGGCTGCACCCGGGGGGCAGCGCTCCCCCCCTGCCCACCGTACTGCAGGGGCTGGGGACAGGCCCCGTGCTTTTATTATACCACTAAGACTTAATTGTCATGTGTTTACACTTGATTTTGTTTATTTTTTTTTCCTCTTTCTTTCGGTCAGAGCATGCGAGCGGTGCTTAATCCCTCTAGCAGCAGCCCGAGCCCATGGGTGCGTTGCTTGGCCTGCTTTGGTTGCCACTTTTCCCATGTCCTCTCCCTCTGATCAGCAAAGCCTCGGGAGATAGGGCAGGAGGGAGGGAGCCTGGGCTACTGATCTCGTCCTCCTTCCCCCGGGCCCCCACAGTGGGATTTAGGGCTCGGGCTGCTGCTATCTCTGCTCCGTGGGTAAATGGGACTCCAGGCTCCCGGGCGCTCTGACACTGACCTTATCCAAATCAGATTCACTGGGTTGGGGATTATCGCTCTTCTTCTTCTTCTTCTTTTTTTTTTTTTTAATTTTTATTTTATTTTTTGTTTTGTTTTTTTAATTGGATGTATAAATAAATCTTTTGTTTGAAAAGAAACCCCCAGTTCTCCGCGCTGTGTTATCACGCCCCTCTACCACCAGCAGGGCTGCTTTCTCCTCCTGCCCTGCCCGCTGGGTTTTGTTCCCCAGCATCCAGCGGTTTTCCTGCTGCAGAGCCAGACCCACGCAGATGAGTCCAGCTCAGCTCTGATCCAAGCAGCCTCTGGTGCTTTCCTCGGTGCTTTCCTGCTTCCTGGCTGCTGGCAGAACAGCCCCGCGCTGCAGGAAGCCCTGTGGCCACCTCAGCCCTAAAGCTGACCCTTACCAAAACATGGCCAGCCCTTCCCGTGTCCCTCCAACCCCAGCAGGAGCACCCCAGAACCAAGCAGCCCCCGCAGGGGATGAAATCTCTGCCATCCCTCTGTAATAGATGATATGGGGCTGTTGCACGCCGTGGGGTCCAGCAGCGATTCTTCCAGGAGGCAAATTCGCCTCCCCAGCATTTCAGAGCCCCAAACTGCTCCCAGTTTGCTGACACCGTAGTTATTGCCCTCCCTTTGAGGTGTCGTTTTGGGGATATAACCTCCTTGGCTTGTCCATTGCCCATCTGGGGGCTCCGGAGAACAGTGGGCTCGGAGGAAGAAGAGGAGGTAGCGGGTAGGGCATGGCCAAAATTCCCTGGTGTGATACCCTGGGCACCAGGGGTCCCACCACGAGCCCCCCAGCTTCCCAGGAGGGTCTCGGCTGACCCAAACCCAAGCCCAAGCCTCCTGCTCCTCCACTCCCCTGCCATCAAAAAGTGCTGAGGAGGTGTAAAACCCCGCTGGGCACAACCGAGGGCAGGCAGGAGGCTGGGACCCCCTCCCAGCACGTCCCTGTCCTCTCCCACCCATCACCTGCTGAGGGCACGGCGCTGCCCTGCCTTGCTGAGGTGCCAGGAGCTGCTGGATATGTCCCAATTTATGCTGCAGCTCGTTAGTTGAGTCAGCTTTGGGTTTGGAAAGGGGTCCCCAGAGAGCACCTCCGGAGCCAGCCAGGCAGGAGAGGTGAGCAGGGAGCTGGGGGCTGCTCCGAGCCCCCCAGGCATCCTGGTGGAGCTCACCCAGGTGAACAAGGGCCGAGCCCCAGCTCCTTCCCTCCATGTGCTCAGGAGCTGGCACATTGGTGTCACAACCCCAAACGATCCTATAGTTGACGTACAGACACCCCAGCAGTTTTCCTGCTGGGGCTTACGTCTAGGATTATTCATTGCAATTCGCCCCAGTGATGTTATTTTCCCTTATTTAATTACTTTCTTTTTTTTTTCCCCCCGGTTGTAAAATCGTTTTCATTCAGTCAAGGGGGAAAAAAAAAATAAAACCTGAAGATTTCTTTAGTAAAAAAAAAAAAAATCAAACTGAAATGGTAGCACCAAATTGATTGCAAAGACACGAGGGACAAAGGGAGCCATTTTCCTGGTGTTGAGTCAAAAAAAAAAATAAAAAAGAAACACAACTGTTTAGCAGAAATCACCGAGGGGTTGAGGGAGAGAGAGAGAGACTCAAAAGATTGATCTTCAAGCAATTAGAGAAGGGAATGCAATTAGAAAGGGGGCTGCAGATCTCCTTTGCTGTTTGCCTTTCCCCTACACAAGCACGCACATGTGGATTTGGGCAGTTTTGGGCTCAGAGCTCAGAGGGAAAGCCCCCATGGCCGAGAGGCCGGGAGGTGGGTGAGGGCATCGTGCCGGCAGCTGCACGAAGCTCAAGGGGGTCCGAAATGGGTCGGGGGTCCCAGGGTGGGGAGAAGCAGGGGGGTGAGGGGCTCGTGGTGGCACCCGGTGCCGCGGGGAGAGCACCAGAGCCACAAAATGTGCTTGGGGTGAAGGCAACAGGCAGGATCCTCGCTGGCACACCCCGGTGCTGGCCGAGGTGTTCTCGCTGAGGATCTGCTTTTTTCTTTTCTTTTTGCCTTTTTTTTATTTTATTATTTTTTTAAAACATGATTCCTTAACTCCGGTGATTTTATCTCGTTTTCTTCTTCCTCTTGCTGTAATTGTCAGTGTGGAATAAAGACTGCAGACAGACAAACAGCCCCAGCCCCACTTCTTTTTTTTTTTTTTTTTAATCTGTGTTGTAAGTGCTTTTGTAAAAAATAAAAAATAAAAATAATAATAATGTAATGGACTTTTATGATTTTTTTTTTGTTTGTTTGTTTGTTTTGTTTTCCATCCTTTGTAATGATTTGTTTGTTTGGGGTCCAGGGGGACATTTTCATGGTTATAATTTGTGTGGGCAGGGTGTTGCATCACCCTTCCTTTTACTTGTACAAAAAAAAAAAACACAATAGTGGCTCAGCTGTGGAAAAAAAAAATGTACTTTTTTATAAATAAAGAATTTTAAAAAAAGAAACACTCTCCTCTTTTTGCGCACCTCTGGCTGCGTCCTTCTGCATCCCGTGGCTTGTGGCTGTCAGGGGTGGTGGGGGCAGGAATGGGATTTGCTTCCAGCGCCCCGGGGCTGCTCCTGTGCTCTGCAGCGCTTTGCAGTGGGAATTCCTTGCGGATGAAGGAGGAGGCTTAGGAGATCTCCGAAACAAGTCTGGAGATCTTGGGAGCCTCCTAAAAACAGCACCCCAGAAAGGGGACACGGAGCGATGGCTTTTGCCAGTGGAGTGGGTGGTCTTATGAGAAACTCTTGGGCAATAGATAAATAGATAAATAAGATGGGATTTTTTTTTGTTTTCTTTTTTCCCTGTTTATAGTGTAAAAAAAATAAAAGGAGTTGTTTTTTTCCCGCTGTTTACAGTGCAAACAGTGAAATTCCTCGTCAAAGGCTGCTGCTGAGGCTGAAACTTAGCCAGGGCTGGGCCAGGACACCGGGCAGGGCCAACCTTTGGGCTGAGGTTGTAGGATGCTCCTGCAGCACAGCGCTTGGCTACCGTGGCGATCGGGCACCAAAACCATGCAAAAGCCGTAGGGATGCCCAGGGTGCTTCGGGAGGAAGGATCAGTCAGGTCGCTGCTTTGCCTTTCCCCTTTTCATCCAGCTCCGTGGCCGTGAGCACACGCTGCAAAGGCAGCCTTGTTCCCAAAGATCAAGGCAGGCAGCCCTGTGAGTCCCGGGGTTTTGCAAGGGAGTGAGAGACAAAAGAAGCAAGAGATCAGAGAAAACGTGCACGTTCTTCCTCGTGCTGATACCAACAGGAGCTTTGCCATGCCTCTGGCCTGGAGAAGGCTCCCAGGGAAAGCATCTTCATGCCTGACTGCGGCACGTGGCTGGCTGCTGGAGGCGTGAACCAAAATCCCCGACACTGGGGGAGAGGACGGGGGATCCTGAGCCACGTCTGAGCCTGGCCTGGTCTTATCCATGAAGGGATGAGCTGGACGGAGAGGGAAGGGTTGGGGTTAGGCACCAAGGAGAGGTTTGGTGCAGCCCGTGGGCACCCTGTGTGCAGGCACAGCAGCTGGATGGATGGATGGATGGAGGGATGGATGGATGGACGGACGGACAGACGGATGGATGGATGGATGCTCTGTGTGCGCCTGGCAGGCAGCTCCCCAGAGCCCTGTCCTTGAGCATCGCCCCCAAATGTGAAGGATTAAAACCCAGGAAGACTTGTCATCAGGCTGCAGCATGGCCAAGGGAGCTGTGACCACTGTCCAGGCTGGATCTGTGCGCTCCTGTAATCACCGCCCTTGCTTTCCCCTTCTGCCAGCCCCTCCTAGGAAGGACAGAGTTTGGAGGTGTAGTTTTTTTGGGGGGTTGAGGATGGTAAAAAGGAGAAAAGGAGGCGCTGCCTGTGCCCGTGGTGCTGCTGGGATGAACCCCAGGGAAATGCTGCGCTGATTTCCCAGGCCGTGCCTTACAGCGAAGCGATGATGGATAAAACCCATGGCAGGGGGCCTCTCCTGGGCAGCTCAGGTTGCAGAGCGCTGAGCGCGGCGGGAGCTGACTCCCCGGGAGCACCCCCACGTCTCGTGTTTCTCTGGAACAAACCAGAAGCACGCTGGGGCAGGAACGCCAGCAAATGCATGCAGGAAAGGTGGCAGCGTGGCTGGGATCTCTTCCCAAAGCCACGGCTCTGCAGGCGAGCGCTGCTGGCCACAAAAGCAACATCAGAGAGAGCAGCCAGCAGGGAGGCAGTGGAGAAGTGAGGTCGGGGTGGCTGGGGATGAACAAGGGGATCGTGTTTGCTCCAGCAGCGAGCTCCAAGCAAGCAGCAGGAGATGTGCCTGCCTGGGGCTGGCTGTGCGCAGGGTGCAGGAGGGAAATATCCACGTTGAAGGTACAGAGCCAGGCTCCCGGCTGGTGTAAGCACACCCAACTTTCCTGACTAGGACGGAGTGATGCTCATTGCCACCCACGCAGATTAACGTAAATGTGAGAGGTAAAGGTCACACATCCCTCCGAGCCCCCTACAGCCGGTGCCCAAAAAGTCGAACCGAGAGAGCCTCGCTGCTTCAGAGCAGAGCTGGGTGAATGACTTGTAGTAACAAATACGCCTGATTAATTTTTTTTCCCCCCATGTTTTCAGGTTATTTGCGAACTTGAGTTTGGTTTGTACGAACGTATTTGTTAGAGGAAATAGCTTTATGCAAATGTATTCCAGCTGGGGGACCTGTGACACCGAGAAGTGCTGTTGAGCCTCAGATGCCCTCCGTGGTGCCTGGCAGAAGGCGAAGGGGGGGCTGGCTCACTCCTCCTCCCAACAAGGCATTTCACAGCCTTCCCGGACGTGTTTGGATGCAGGCTCCCTCTTATATAGTGTTTGCAGAACAAGGATCAGCCTGTAAAATACCAACGGGTGTTGCACTCCTAAAATTTTACATACTAGCTCGCAGAAGGAAGAGAACCAAGCGTGGCTGCGCAAGCAAAGCAGGGGCACGGCGTTGTGCATGTGTACGTGATTTAAATGTGCATGGAAAAGGTTGCTTCAGCCCCAGGGGGACTGAAAGGTCTGAATTTGGGGAAGAAAATGGTCTGAGTGCAAAAGAGGCATCGAATGCTCTTTCTGCCCCTTTGCAGAAAACCCTGCCCTGTGGCTTGTTGGGGGGCTCAGGGGGGGGAATTTTGTGCTTGCAAAATCCTTAGAAATGAACACAAACCAAATCCTGTGGGACCGAGGGCATCACCCTCTGAGAATCCGGGAGGGGAAGGGCTTCCTCTCGATCATTCCTGCCTGTTCACCAAGCCTTGTTTCTAATCTAGCTCCCGATCTACATCTGGGGCAGACTTTTCTCCTCCATCCATCGCGAGCCCCATGGAGAGAGGTGCCTGAAACGTTTCTATTTCTCCCTTATCTCTCGGCTCCTCTCAAACTCCTGCCAGCCTGTTTATCTCACAGTTTTGAAAAGAAAATTGCCAACTTCACACCTGTCAGGTTTAACTGATTGCCTGTCGCTTGGAGGGAGGGAGCCCATCCGTATGGCCCTGGCCTCACAGGCTGGGCTCGCCAGGGGAAACATCTCCATCCCTCGAGGAACGAAATGCTTCATTTCCCATCTCCCGGCCTCATTTCACTGTCCTGCTGTAGCTCCCAGCCCTTTCAATTACCGCTTTACAACAGTAATGAACAGGAGCTTGCTGCTGGCACGCAGCTTTGTCCACCCGAGGAGCTGGAACACATCCTCCGAGGCCGGCGATCTCCCCACTGTGCAAAAAGTGCCCTGGCCCAGCGGCGATGCGGAGAAAGTGATGTGATTTTGGCAAAAGTGTGGAGGGAACCAGGGACAAGGCTCGGGGAGGAGCTCGGAAGAGCTAAATCCTTCCCTTCTGCCTGTCGGATCTATAACACCCATCATTGGCATCCCCAGCAGGTGCCTTGCCATGGGTCTGGTGCATCTCCCTTCCCTTTTCCGCTCCAGGACGGAGGAGATTTAATCCCGGCTGTGCCTCCCCAGCAGCTTAACGAAGGAGGAGGTGGGAGAAGGAGCAGGGAACGGGGGCACCCAGCCCAGCTGCTGCCAGCTGTGCGAGGCCCCGGCTGCGGGATGAATGCTGCAGCTGTCTGGGATTAGCGATGGGTAGCGGGGTGGGAATGCTGAGTCTCCAGTAAACACTGCCGAGCAGTCCAGAAATAATGGCATGGGGGCTTTATAATAGGAAGGAATCGTAATTAAATAGAAATTAGTTACTTAAATGGTCACTTCCCGGGGTTTCGTTGATGTCCGATTAACTTAACTTTTAATTTGCATAAGCAATAAATGTTTAATTATGTTATTAATATATTTGAGTTGAGGAGCTTATGGGGTTTTATAATTGGCATTTAACTAGATAGTTCCAGCATATTAACCGATGTTTTATAGCTCCATGCGAGGTTTCCCAATTATAACTGACCTAAAAATTTGCTTGGAGGACCTGCCTTGGAAGTGTTACCTGAGCAACAGGAGGGAAGCAGGCTCCGCACCCTCCCCGACAGCCTCAGGACCCCTTTCCCCCCCCCCAGGATGGTTTTTCCTTGAGGCTCGCCACCTTCCCTGTGTCGGAGAGGAGGTCACGTCCCCGCTCTCAGCATCCAGCTGACTGCTGAGCCAAAAAGGCTGACACACGGCGAGGGATTAGGGTGGGGAGAAGGAGATTTGGGGATGGGGAAGGCTCGTCGGGTGGTTACGACGTGACCCTGGGGCTGTGCTCAGCCCTGGCAGCCCCTGGGGCAATGTGTGCAGCTCCCAGCACGCCTGCTGCACCTTGCCACCGGTTTATTTCTTGCAGGGAGGTGTCAAGGAACACCCCTTAAGGCCAATTTGCAGTAGACATACTGGAAAGCTAGATTTGCTCAATTATTTTCTCATTTCTTCTTTTCCTTTTAAAACTAAGGGTAAGGATGCGGATGCAGGGTACTGGAGCCATACAATTATAACTGATTGCATTACAGCATCCTGCATCCACTGTGGCCTTTATGCAGCAACCTCAGCCTCTCCCAGCACCGCTGAGGCACCCAGGCAGCGATTATCTGCACACACCTGATGAAAGCACCGAGCTGGATCAGGCCCTCCACTCCTTCCCCCATTACCCTGGGCAGAAACGTGTCCACCAGCGGCGATTCCCTCCTGACAGCTCCTCCCGAGACCTGTCAGTTAGTCACTCTTAATCTGTTTTCTGTTCCATCTCTGTGCTTACTTTGATGAGATGACTGGTTTAGTGGGCAAAAAATGACATTGTGTTTGACTGACAAGACC